TTTGGTTTCCTACCACTAAACCCAATCTTGTCCCTTTACATATTTATCACTTCCACTTGCCTGGGTAACTTCTACACCATCTGTTCACTTTTGAACCACAAATACTTACAGGAAAAAAAATTAAAGGGATAAAAAAACAACTCTCCCCTTTGAAGTGTTTCCTGTAACTATTTGCTGTTAATGTGAAAGTTTTAAATCCCGCCATCAATCTGTGAGTGTCTGCATTCAGTATTCTTGTATTTAGTATTAGAGTTGTGACATAAATAAGAATTATTAGCTAGATATGAACATGTTATATGGAACATAATAGCACAATAAAAATATTTAGCCAAGAAAATGTAAAAAAAAACCCAACAACAACAACAACCCAAAAACCCACCACTAACATGCAAGTGTACCTGGTATTTGTGGTCCTCTCTTGCTGGAAAGCCAAAGTATTTCTCCGTGAAGGCAGACCCTTTATCGAAAACGAGAATAAAACTGTTAACAGACATGGCATTGTTGTTTTAATTAACACATGATTAATTTAATATTACTTCTTCCCTTCATGGTGGACAAATGGTGACCATTAATGACCAATCTTACTGCTCAAACTACAGTGGAACCCCGACTTACGAAATTAATTCGTTCCCGAGGGTCTTTCGTAAGTCGAAAATTTTCGTAAGTCCAAACACCTATCGCGGATTTCGTAACACGGGCATTTTGCCATAACACAAGCAGAAATATTGCCGTTCAGTGCCTTCATAACTTGAATTTTTCGTTTAACGGTTTATTCGTAAGTCGTGGTTCCACTGTATTCTTATGTGGTGATTACTTTGTGTGGCACCGGTTGATTAGATGTGTTTCCATTGTTTCATGAAATCAAACATATTTAGGTTGAATCTAATAATGACGCTGTGTGAACAATCATAACTATAACTGGTGACAATGTTATTTGTAAAGTCTTGAATAAGCTTACCATACAATCTCCAGTTTGTTATAGGAGCGACAGCAATGCCACACCTTAACACAGACGGGTGGGAAAGGACCAGGAGAGTGGACAAGAAGCCTCCATATGCCTAAAAAAATATAGAAAACAATGTTTTTGTTAAAAAAATAAAAAAAATAAATAAATTGCTAATTTTCATGCGTGTTTTAATTTCAGTTAAAGAGGCTGTTACCTTTCCATAAACTCCAACTCTGTTGGCATCAATATAGGGCAGCTTTACCAGATGCCTGAAAATTAAAAGAACATTAACTAAATGTCATTTTGTACGTTGTTTGTATGTAAATATTAGCTGTACCAACACATACTCGAGTGCTGTGAGCTGATCGTGAACATCAACAGTTCCCAGTCTCTGGAAAACCTCATGTAAGATCCTCTGGCCCTGGCAGCCACTGCCCCGCCCATCCAGATGGGCCACAATGACATCATTGGAACTGACCAGAACAGAGTCCCAGCTCAGGGAAAAACGGTCACTCACAGCCTGACCACCAGGGGTGCTGTCACTTTGGAAGGCAAAAAGAGTTTAGAGCGCCAAAGTTTTCATGAAAGGATGCAAAATAAACTACAAAAATTGAAGAAATAATAACAACTAACCATTATATTTTTACTCTTATACTCTTCTGGAGAGGAGGGCGGTCCCTATCTTTAGGTTGGGATTTTTCTTTAGTAAATAAGTCACTGTATAAACTCATTCTACAGTTCTTAACACTTCAACTGAAGCAGTAAGGCCAACAATGAGGCATTCTCAAAGTTGTTAAAACAAAGTTACGTACAGGACAAGTAAAAGTGGGTACTCCTTTTCTTCATCCAAAGCTATTGGGACGATTAACTCCAGGCGAAGTGCTGCAAAATAAATCAGTGTTCAGCATTCAGTCCAGAGGAGATTTTGGTGGTGAAGATTCAGAATGAATTTTTATATGCAGTGCATGTATCCCTCATCTATCCCTCAGACTACATCAAAGCTCTGTGCGCTGCAAGGTCAACACATCATTTATTGGTTAATAAAAGAAATGGGAGAAGAACTGAGACTTTAGAGGTCAAGGCAGGTAGCACAAAGTCTGATTTAGCTGGTATTTGAAAAGATTTACATTCATTTTAGCTTTAGTACATCCTTTAAATGGTACCATTTAATTCAGTTGACAATCAAAGACAGCGTAACTTGAGTGGACATAGTGCATGGAAGTTTTCTCTTTTTTCTATATAATATCATAATGTGTGATGAGGTCATCAAAGTTTAATTTGATAAATAGAATACAATAGATTAAAATAGAATAGAATAGCCTTTTATTGTTATTGTACATGTACAACAAAATTGTGGGTGCTCCATGCCAACCGATCAGAAATAAAATATAAGCGCCAAGACAGCAGGAATAAATAACAAACAGCAGAAAAATATACAAACTAAAGGAAGACATGTAAAACAAGACAAAATGTACACACTGGAGAATAAAGTGCTTGGAAATAGTGCAAAGGACTTGGTTTGAATAGAGTCTGTGTGTGAATGGCCTGAGTGATCAGGGTTACTCAGACCGTGGCTCAGATTAGTAGAGTGGGTGGGCAGGTGTAGTGTGTGGGGGTGGTAGTGTTTGCTACCAGTCCGAATGGCCCAGGGGAAGAAGCTGTTTATAAAACTTGAGGTGTGGGGACTGAATGACCTGAGGCGCCAACCAGAGGGCAGTGGGTCAAATAGGTGTTGGGCGGGGTACAAGGAGTCTCCTATAATCACCCTTATTTCCTAATTATGTTCCGAGTCTGGGGACATATTTATTATGGATTTTACACATATATGTAAACAGAAGGAAGGAAGAAGGAACCCGCCCAAGCAAGATGATGTAGCTCTTCATTGTAGTATCCTAAATTGAACATCAGAGGAAGATAAAATATGACGGGGAGGCAGAGAAGGCACCTATACTTGTTAATTGGACAGCAAGCAACAGCTAAAACACCTGATAATTGACCCTCATCACCACCATCACCAAGAGAATAATGCACCAATAAAATAAACCATGCTAGGATGCAAACAAAACAAGAGCAAAACAAGAAAAACAGGAGTTCAGTAATACTTTTGGAAACAGCTCTTGGAGTGTAAATGATTGAGTGCCAATGCTGAGTATGAAGCTAAACACATCACATTTCTTCCCAATTTAGGAGGACAAAAGCTGTTATTTGGTAATGCTTGCCGTGTTGTGATGCGAGTCAGTGGCGGTCCCAGCCTGTTTGGCGCCCCGAGCGAACACTCCCTCTATCTATAATTGAGTGATCTGCATATATTAGTGCTATTTCTTAATTGTGTGAAATCTGTAATATTATGGATTGTTTGGAGTTTAGTCTGTTACTGTTGCTATTTTTACCATTTCTTCTTGGAGCAACTGTAACCCACATCATTTCCTTAGGAATTAATAAAGTATTCTGAATATGATTCTGATTGTTATCCATTATCCAATGACACATCTGCTTACCTGTATCTTTGGCTCGTTTCTCCTCCTCTTCTTTTCTCTCTTTTTCTAGACTGAGCACCTGATGGCTTTGAACTTTTCTTGTCCATCTCCCATTGGTTTTAATTTTGCGCTCCAGTATGAACACAAATCCCCCAACTCGGGGATCACCACAACATAACCTAATAGACCTACACCTTAGTTCACAGATTCGCTTTGTCTAGGGTGTATTTCTATGTAGTGTGTGAATGTGTGAATGACTGAATGTAGTGTAAAGCGCTTTGGGGTCCTTAGGGACTGAGTAAAGCGCTATACAAATGCAGGCCATTTACCATTTACCATTCTGGGATTTCGCACAACCCAGGATTCAAAACATGAATACATAATGGGCTCGGATTCATAACATTATGAATGAAATGTGCTCTATTTGGAAGCAGCCCCCCTCCCCTTTTGACAGGTTGTGTGAGACTTTAAATCATCAAACTGTAAATTATAAATTTTAAATTGTTATTGATCTCTTTACCCCGAGTCCTAAAGTGTATATTTATTTTCTTACTCTTCTTATATTTATTGTTTGTTTACTTGCACTGCTGTAACTGGAGCCTCGTCGTCTCATATCTCTATATACTGGACTGTATGTAGCTGAAATGACAATAAAGTTTACTTTGACTTCAGCACAGCAGCGAGCAGGCGCACCGAGGGCTCTCGCGCTCACTCTTTGTATACAGAATTTCAAAAAAACATCGGTGCAAATTATAACTCTGTGTCATAATGTCTGGTGTTTTCGTGTTTGTTGGTTTGTTTTTATTTTGTTTTATTTTGCGATTTGGTTATTAGATGCTGCTCCAGCCAGTCAGTGAATCCCCCGCCACCCCGCCCTCTCCTCCCTGTGCCGCAAGCATCAGGCGGACCTTGCAAATGGAGGGCGCCCTTACTCCCAGCAAATGTGCGATAGAAAGCCGATTGGTGCCTATGCCATTCACAAAATGTGCTGGCTGACGTCGGGGCAGCATGAGTACGAGCAAAATAATTTTTTTTGCCAGTGCCCGTGATGCCGCCCTGGGCAACAGCCCGTGTCGCCCATATCAAAAACGCTACTGATGCGAGTCATGTATCATCCATCACTAATTCTCTAATTTGACAGAGACTGTTAACATGTTTGACAAGTTTCAGGCAAAACAGTACACTTTTTTTGTTCCTACTGCACGATTGGGCAACTACACTAAGATTAGAGTTGGATGTCTCGAGACCGGTCTTGAGACCACATTTACGTGGTCTTGTCTTGGTCTTGACAGACTTTGGTCTTGGTCTTGTCTTGGTCTTGTCTTGGTCTCAGATCCCTCGGTCTTGTCTTGGTCTCGCTGTCTCAGATCGACATAGTGGTTGGGAGATTTGGAGTCAACAGTATCCATGACACACAACGTAACGTTCGATAATGTGTCATGCGCAAAAACATCAGCTCTAAGAGCCGTGCTTAGAGAGTGCTTTGTAGTGAATCAGAAGAGTCGACTCCCATTGAGCGAGAGCCGGCTCCTCACTTAATTTCCTTTCACTGCTCAGCTCTCACACAGTGGTTCAGCTATGCTCTAATCCCTCCATATTGTGGCCAATCACATGCGAGGATATAGGATAATATCATTATGTAAAAAAAGGTGAGGGTGAGAGACGCGACAGACAAGTGGAGCGTGCGTCTGTGCTCTCTGTAAGTCAGTGAGACAGTAGACAGTGGTGAGGAGGGTTGTGTGGGTGCATCGCAAAAACACATAAATATGCCCGACACCCATAAACGTAGCAGCATCTGGCTGCAGTTTAAAGACTTTTTTGTCTCGGTCTCTGTCTTGACTCAGTCTGTGTAGGTCTTAGTATTGGTCTTGTCTTGGTCTCGATACCCTCTGGTCTTGGTATTGTCTTGGTTTAGGCGGTCTTGACTACAAGTCTAACTAAGATAGTCTGGTAATACATTGTCCTCTGGTGGTGAACATTTTAGTTGACATTTGTAGAAGACAATCACAAAAATAGAGACTTAGGAATATTTTGATGGCAAGGAATTTGCAAAAATACTCGTACGAATCGGAACTTTTATGTAAATAACAAATAAATTCTTCTTTTGCCACTTCGCAGGCCAGTTATCCATCCATTCATCAATAGAATTCCCAAGCCAAAAAATTTCAAGCATTTCGGGCCTCCTCACATTGGAGCATGTGTGGAACACCTGACCTTGGAGGGATCGAAGAGACATCCCTGTCTGATTTCCAAACTACCTCAACTCGCTCAAATTTTTGAAGTGGAGAACAATCACCCTCAGACTGGCTCCACTACAGACAGGCATATTGGTGGGCTTGAGGAGATCCTAGAAGGATTCCTTCCAGTGGGAAGCTATGCCATCAGTTCAACTTCCACTATATACAGTATCTATACATTGTAGGTGGGAAGTATTGTACAGCATTCTGGCACCTCCTTCAGGTAGTAGGGCCACAAGAAGGCTGGCCCTTGTGGCTCATATGGGCTGAGCCTGGCCCCATGGGCTAAGGCCCAACCACCAGCTTGAGCTCCTCCCCTGGGACTGGCTCCATTGTGGGGCCCCCAATCCTGTACCATACCGCTTCCTGAATTACACTTAGTTTGGCTCTTCACTTAGAAACAATTTGCCTTGGAAGACTCTAGCATGGGCAAATTGCTAGAGTACACAAACCTCTTCACTTAAATAAGGTGGTAATTTGTGGTGGGGGACACAAGTAATAGAATACGTTTTCAAATTCTGGTGCAGTTATGCTTTTAGGTAATATGACAGCACATGAGCCAGAAAATATTTTTTATGCCGATCTACATTGTGTTTATTTTTGAAAAGGTATTCAGATTTTCTGTGCCCATTTTTCCTTATTCTTGCCCCCCTCCCCTACCTCTGCATTAAAAAAAAAAAAAAAAACCATCCCTGAGGAAGAAGAAGCGGTTCATGTGAAAAGTAAGCCTGTGATTTTATTTCTGTTTAGCTCTTTACAATGACAGGATTCCCATCTGACTCCGCTCAGAAGTCCTTAAATATGTATCATGTTGCCTCTAATAGTGAACACAGACTAGAGAAAGGGAGCCATATGGTGAGCCGTCCCTTCTAATTGATACAATATAGGGCTGTGCTTATGATTTCAGGGCTGTTTCATAATCACCAAACAAAGCTCTGCACCTGTTCACTCTGGTGTGTTTATCCTAAAAAGATCTTGACTACTGAGCTCATGGGGATGTAATTTGTTGGAAACTATCTCAGTTATTGCTTTACATGCTGTTAAGGAAACGAGTTACAGTTACCCTACTTCTTCAATGTCAGACAACTGAGTTTCCTGAACTTGGATGGAGCATTTCCAGAAGCTGAACTAGAAGAAGAAATTTGTTTTTCCAAGTGTTGTTATTACTCATTAATTATCATGGGAGAAAACGTTAGAGTGCAGTGGTGATAAGAAATGTCTACTCATGCATACACAGATAACGAAAAACCAAACAAAAGCTCAAAGATGAATCTGAACAAATCGCTATTACAAATCACAACTTTTGCACATCATTACAGAGGAATAAAGTTTCTTACCAAAGTTGTTGATTTGTACAGTTCTTCTTTCCCACTTGGGTATTGTCCTGTTTATCAGTGCATTTTTTAATTCTCTGTTATTTTCCAGAATCTTGTGCTCTGCTGGATGACAGCACAAGAAGAATTACTATTAGTTACAAGAAAGCAACAAATATAACATCTATTAAAGAAAGGTTGTGTGTGCCTGCTAATTACTAGGAAAAAGAAACTGAACACTTCAAGAGTACCTCATTTAAAACCTTATTGACACTGATAATTATGCCAAGAACAAGAAAATCAACAATATGTCCTCCAGTTCCTTTCATGTGTTTAGATGAAGAATGTTGTTGTTTATATAATCTTACAGTTTTTCTAAATACACTGAAACAAACACATTTTCTTTCCTGACATCTAATTGTGACCAGCCTGTCAGCTTAGTAAAGAATCATTTTTGACATAATATCAGCAGACAGACAATCCTTGAGTCTGTCTGTCAAAATTACAGTTTTAAACATTACAATAACCTTTATTTCATCTTTATTCCAGATTCTGGACTCTTAAGTAACATACGGTTGTTGTCCCCACACATGCAACTAACCAATCGTGTTGTTGTGACGTCTTGGAAAAAGATGATTCTCTTTTTTTTTTTTAATTGCTTCTTGAATTGATCCTGCCAGTTTCATGTAGAACTTTCTACTGTCAGCATACATTATTGAATATTTCTTAATCTGCCTGTGTTCGTATTTGAGTCAGTAGTTGAAGTTTGCTTTCATGCTATCTGGCAAAAACGTAAAGTAAAAAGGCTTTTAGAAGTTATATAAAAATATTAAGGATCTGAGGATACATAACAACTTCTTTTCACGGCATATGTACATCATTTCATGACACACTCAATGTAGATAAATCTGTTTGACATTCATTTTCTACAGTTTCTAAGATTCTGTTTAGTACTGAGTAATTTCCCAGTCTTTTTCGAAGTCGCAAAGCTATGACATCACAATGACAGGTGGAGTGATTGTCCTGGAGCAGAAATACATGATTCAGTCACACTTTGAGGTCCAAGTAATTTAATAAGTTGTATTAAATTCTGTGCACTTTCACCTTGATGTGGCCAAATGTTCCACTACATAGAAATGTGAAATGATAATACCAACTCTCAATCTTGAAGTCTGTAGTAGCGGAAGAAGTTGATCATTCCCCAGAGGCTGTTCTGAGTGCCTCTGATATATACTCAACAAAATTTCAAGCACTTAACGCTTCACCTAATTGCATCTTCATGCCCATTTGATAGGCTTACGTAAACCTGCTGAATGATGATTTAATGACTTAATCTCACAGACTTAATCTGCAAACGTGTGCTGACCAATTAATGCACTTTTTAGACAGGCAAGGTGTACTGACAGTGGAAAAAATCAATGTGCTCCCATATAAATGTAATGAGTGAAAGTCTAAATAGTAGATTCGTTTAAGTGTATCTGTGCAGGAAAACTTACTGTTCATATCATGTAGTTTGTGGAGAGTTGTTTGGGGTATTCCAGGTCCTGTAGAAATGTTTAAATATCAGTTAGTTCTTCACTGTGTTTTATTCTCAATGTTGCATTTTCCTTAGAAGGACATTGAAAGGACATTGGAAAGAAAGAAGAAAGTGAACACTAGAAAGAATGATAGAATAGCAAATGAGATATAGATATAAAAACAGGCCTCAAATGTATTTATTTTAGTCCTATAACTGTCATGGTCCCTGGGTCTTTGACCCAGCATTGTGAACCTAATGAGTTTTCTTATCTCTGTTTCTAGTTCTTGGTGTCTAGTTGGATTTTTGCAAGTTCCTTTTGGTGTCTAGTCTGTCCTAGTCTTATTTCTGTATCTCTGGAAGTCAGTTATGTCTCCATGTTTATTTACCTTATGTCTTCCCACTCTTGCCCCTGTACCCAACTTGTCACTTAGATTTTGTTCAGCTGCACTTTCAGGTGTGTCCACTCTGCCTAATATCTTTCTGTGCACATATTGGCTGTCTCCCTTTGTTCTTTGTCACATCCTTCCTCATGTTGTGTGTAGTCTCTGTCAGTCTGGTTTGGCTTGTACTTCCTACCCTGCAGCTCCATATTTGTTTTTTCTTTTGTTTTCTTTGCCTTCTTTAACAGCGAAACAAAAGCTGTGATTTTAAGTTTAATTTGTCCGCTGACTCCTGCATCTGGGTCCGCTCTCTGCCCCAGTCCATGATAATAACTTAATTATCTTAAGGATAATCCAAACATAATTTAGGCTATCACAAGAGATTGTGCACTGAACACTCAATCAAACATAACTTCGGTCAGTAAACTGGTTTATTTGTCTTCTCCGTGGACTCCCTCCAGAAATGGTATAGTAGAGTGACAAACCATTCAATGAGTGCTGAGCAAAAATCTATGGGAGAATTCTAAAGGTGCAATGCAACGATGACAGATGTCCTGCATCTGCCTTAAAAAATCCAACCAATGGTCCAAAATGGAAAGATATGAGCCAATCATGCTGGTTGTCAGATGCATCCATAGAGCCTCATGACCAGGGATTAAAGTAGGATTTGGCAGGTTGGGGAACCCTAAGATGAGGTGTAGCAGAGCAGCATGGGGGAAATAAATATTTAGATATATACTTAGTCACATAATAATTTGTTAAACTCCAGTAGATTTCTTTGTGCACAGGTTAACCTGTGCTTCTACTCCAAATTTCACTGCTCTCTGAGGATATAAGCATTTATGATGTCTTTATGACATCATAAAGCTAGTATAAAAGGTAGAATTTGGTGCATGTAACTAGCATCATTACCTTAAATATAAATTTCTGCTACCCTTGACATAGTCAAAGGAGCTTGCAAAGAAAAGCGTCTGGACTTCTTTAAGTTACTTGAAGACGTTTCACCTCTCATCCGAGAGGCTTCTTCAGTTCTAAGGTCAAATGGTGGAGAGTCCCAGATATAACCCTAGTGGGAGTGTCCCCCCACAGAGGGACAAAAGGACCCCCTGATGATCCTCT